CCCATCTACGCCTTTTCATGTACAGACGGTACATACACAGGACGTGTATCAGCGAGCTTGAGCGGGCGACCAATTTGTTTTAAAGACCATCATGCCCTTTATTATGAAGAGATATGAAGATATCATTGTCGTCGATCGTGTTCAGGGGGTTGTAAAGAAATTAGAAAAAAGAAAGACCTGACTGCAAACTCGAAGCGGGAGGCGAAGTACGGATTTTGCTGGACCGGAAGGAGATGAATTCGATTTTTGTTCGAACAAGAAAAGAATAAAAGAAAGAAGATGAATTCTATTCCTATGGACAAGACAAGACAAGGGCTTGGCGGCGGGGGCGGGGGCCTTCTTTTGGTAACGCGGTTGATGTAATCGAACGTCTTGACGATCCAACCGATCCAAGTACCACAACGCACGGCACCTCCGCGATCAGCACACATTCAGCTTGGTGACGTCCCTCGTACTCTTGATCCAGCTGAGACCGAGGGTGAGTTCTGTCAGCACGACGGCGTGTTGGCGGTGATGATGAAGTTACCGATGCAGGGCATCGCCTAAGCACTACAACGATATGAGGTGTGTAACTGTGGAGGGGGGCACCGCACACGGCTAAAAGATCAACTTGTGTGTCTATGGGGTGCCTCCTCCCACGTATATAAAGGGGGGAGGGAGGAGGAGGCCGACCAAGGGGTGGCGCACCCAAGGGGGGGAGTCCTACTCCAAGTAGGATTCGCCCCCCCCCCCCTTTCCTATTACTACAAGGAGAAGGGGGGAAAGAGGAGAGGGAGAGAAGGAAAGGGGGGCCGCCCCCCAACCCTAACCCAATTCGGATTGGGCTTGGGGGGCGCGCGCCTCCACCTGGCCGCCGCCTCCTCTCTTCCACTAGGGCCCATGAAAGCCCATTAACCCCCCGGGGGGTTCTGGTAACCCCCCAGTACTCCGCAAAATTCCTGAACCTATCCAAAACCATTCCGATGTTCAAACATAACCTTCCAATATACCAATCTTTATTTCTCGACCATTTCGAGACTCCTAGTCATGTCTGTGATCTCATCCGGGACTCCAAACGAACTTCGGTTCATCAAAACACGAAACTCATAATACAAATCGTCATTGAACGTTAAGCGTGCGGACCCTACGGGTTCGAGAACTATGTAGACATGACCGAGACACATCTCCGGTCAATAACCAATAGCGGAACCTAGATGCTCATATTGGCTCCTACATATTCTACGAAGATCTTTATCGGTCAAACCACATAACAACATACATTGTTCCCTTTGTCATCGGTATGTTACTTGCCCGAGATTCGATCGTCAGTCTCTTTACTCATTCTGTAATGCATCATCCCGTGACTAACTCATTAGTCACATTGCTTGCAAGGCTCATAGTGATGTGCATTACCGAGAGGGCCCAGAGATACCTCTCCGATACACGGAGTGACAAATCCTAATCTTGATCTATGCCAACTCAACAAACACCATCGGAGACACCTGTAGAGCATCTTTATAATCACCCAGGTACATTATGACGTTTGATAACACACAAGGTGTTCCTCCGGTATTCGGGAGTTGCATAATCTCATAGTCAGAGAAACATGTATAAGTCACGATCAAAGCAATAGCAGTAAAACTAAACGATCATTATGCTAACATAACGGATGGGTCATGTCCATCACATCATTCTCTAATGATGTGATCCCGTTCATCAAATGACAACACATGTCTATTGTTAGGAAACTTAACCATGTTTGATTAACGAGCTAGTCAAGTAGAGGCGTACTAGGGACACTTTGTTTTCTCTATGTATCCACACATGTATCAAGTTTCCGGTTAATACAATTCTAGCATGAATAATAAACATTTATCATGATATAAGGAAATATAAATAACAACTTTATTATTGCCTCTAGGGCATATTTCCTTCATGAATACATCGTGAATTATAGATACGTTAGAGACGTATCAAGTAGCGATGGATATTTAGATGAAGTTCATCATGTAACAGTCACAACCTAGAGCAACACATAGTTGCTCCAGTTCATCAATTAAATGTAGGCATATATAGTCATATGTGCTTATAATAAAAACTTGCATGACATATTTTGTCCTACACTCCTGTGACAGCAAGGTCCTGATGGAAATCTAAGGGTAATTAAGGCGCTCCTTTTGATAGAGAATGGGTAAAAACATTAACACATAGTGAATACATGAACTCCTCAAATTACAGTCATCCCTGGAGAGTGCCCCAATTATTGTCACCTTGGAGTGGTTCAAAATAATAACAGGTGCATATAACTTGCTGATAGGGTAGAGAACTCAAATATTCTCATGAAAACATAAAGAGTTCAAATCTCAAATCATGGCACTCGGGCCCTAGTGACAAGCATTAAGCATAGCAAAGTCATAGCAATATCAATCTCAAAACATAGTGGGTACAAGGGATCAAGCCCTAACAAATTGACTCAATTACATGAAGATTCTCATCCATCTCTATCTACCTCTAGTATACCTATGATGAAATTACTCACTCCCAGTGGTGAGCATCATAAGGTTGTCGAGGAAGAAGGGTTGTTGATGACGGTGGCGATGATTTGCCCTCTTCGGAGCCCCGAGCGGACTCTAGATCAGGCCTCCCAATGAAGAACATGAGGTGGCGGCGGCTCCGTATCATAAAACGCGATGAAATTTTCTCTTCGAATTTTTTTCTCAGCAAGACGGTACTTATGGAGTTGGAGGTAGGGCAAACGGAGGCTTGAGGGGCCCAAAAGCTAAGATGGCGCGTCCTAGGGGGCGCCACCTAAGCTTGTGGCTATGTGGTGGCCACCTCCGGTAGATATTTTCGCCAGTATTTTTTATATATTCTAAAAGAATTCTCGTAAATTTTCGTCCAATTTCAAGAACTTCTATTTCTGCACAAAAAACAGCACCAAGGTAGTTCTGTTGAAAATAACATCGGTCGGGGTTAGTTTCATTTAAACCATGCAAATTAGAGTACAAAACAAGAGCAAAAGTGTTTAGAAGTAGATACGTTGGAGACGTTTCATCGGACCAGTAGAAGTCCTAATCCAGGCGTGTCTTCCAGGTTGCCTGGCTCCCTCGGGATGCTGAGTGCCACCGCCTCTAGCTTGGGCCTGGGGATGTGGAGGCTGCCTCGCCGCATGGATAGTGGTGTTAAAACAGCCCCGGGGGCCTGCGCGCGGCACGAGCCGACCACCTACTCATAGGTGCGGTCGTCCCACAGGGTGTGCCGCGCAATGAGTTTCTTTCACGCCGGCGGGAACGCACCCTCAAACTGCCAGAGCATGTTGTTGACACCGTAGAAAGGGTCGCCGCTCTCCTCCGGCAACAGCCTCACCCGGAACTCCCTCGTCCAAGCACGCATCTGGCCAAACTCAGCCTCGAGGACCGACGGCATCGGAATCCCCTTGATGCTAAGCTTCCACCCCAACTGTAGTCAGTGTCCGGTGGCGCGACCCCACCCAAACGGTCGAGCTCGTTCGCCTGCTAGACGATGAGGCTACTCCGCCCTCCTCCCCACATAACCGACGACGTGGGCAGCGACTGTGTAGGCTAAGGTTACTGGCGGCGGGGGCGACAACCTCCTTTTGGGCTCGGGTGATAATGATGTCAGATGTGGGGGGTGTATAGGAAGAAGAAGGGCAGTAGGTAGGACGTGCCAGTGGCTGGCTTAACGCAGTAATTAATGGCGGGCGCAGCGAGGCTGGCGGTGGCAGGCGGCAAGTGGCTCGACGCTTGTGGGTAAAATCCACGCGGGTAGGCGACTCAGCCTCTTATAGGTATCCACATTGGCTTAATGGCGGCAGGTGCCCCGTTGGCCGGCTTGCTGTGTGGGAAACTGCCGCCTCGTGCGGCGTGATTGATTGCTGACCGTCCACATACGCCTTTTCGTGTACAGACGGTACGTACACAGGACACGTACCGGCGAGCTGGAGCGGGCGACCAATTTTTTTAAAAAAAAACCATCATGCCCTTTATTATAAAGGGATATGAAGATATCATTGTTGTTGACGTGTTTAGGGGTTGTAAAGAAATTGGAAAAAAGAAACACCTGACTGCAAATTGGAACCGGGAGGCGCAGTCCGGATTTTGCTGGACTGAAAGGAGATGAATTTGATTTCTGTTCGAACAAGAAAAGAAAAGAAAGGGTGAGTGTATGCGCGTGTATATGAGCGCTTACGTCTATACTAATATTAAAAAAAAAGATGAATTCGATTCCTATGGACAAGGCTTGGTGGGCGCACGCGTCTCGCCCGTGCGGTGGAAGCGTGCCGCATCATGTGCCAGGCCCCGGGGCTTCCAGAACGCTTTTGGCACCTCAACCATTCCGCGGCCTACGCCGCCGTCGGAAATATCTTGGGGGCCATGACATGTGAAGATGCGCCAGGTGCTGCGTGTTGCTTGGGCGCCGCTGTACCACGCGGGGACACTTGGCTAAGCCTGAGCAGAGCTGGTTGGAAGGAAAGTCTGAGCAGAGCTGGTTGGAAGGAAAGTCGAATAAGAAACCAGACGAAGTCATTCCTTTCTTTGGAGACCTGGCTACCGCTAGGTAGGTAGCCAGCCGGAAGGCAACCGTTTGGTGCCGCCCTGTGCGTTGATGCTCCATTTCTCTTCCTCTCATTCTGATGATCACGCGGATGCCCGGCGCGTGGCGCGTTGCCATGCGTACGCGTGTCAGCAGAGCATCCTAAAAACAACGGCGTGCTTTCGGGAGAGTTCGCAACCATCCCCGCCACCTCCCCCTTCTCGTCTTCCGTCTAAAAAGTGCAGGCCAGCACCCGTCTCCTGAGCACACATCTCACCACGCCACAAACACCAAAGAGAGGTGTACTACGAGGGAGTGAGAGGCGCCCGGCTCGCCTGCGTCCGTCTCCACTTCTCGCGAGCCCGGCGTCACCCGCCGCCGGGCACGCACCACGCTCAACGCCAAAGAAAATAGTGTAGGTCGTGTAGGCGAAGGCCGACCTGCAAACTAAACACTAGTCGATCAAGATGGTGGTGGAGGGATACGAAGCCGACAAGAACATCCAGATATGGAAGGTGAAGAAGCTGATCAAGGGGCTGGACGGGGCGAGGGGCAACGGCACGAGCATGATCTCGCTCATCATACCGCCGCGCGACCAGGTGTCCCGCGTCGCCAAGATGCTGGGCGACGAGTACGGGACCGCCTCCAACATCAAGAGCCGGGTGAACCGCCAGTCCGTGCTGGCCGCCATAACCTCCGCCCAGCAGAGGCTCAAGCTCTACAGCCGGGTGCCCCCCAACGGCCTCGTGCTCTACACGGGCACCGTCGTCACCGACGACGGCAAGGAGAAGAAGGTCACCTTCGACTTCGAGCCCTTCCGGCCCATCAACGCGTCGCTCTACCTCTGCGATAACAAGTTCCACACCGAGCCGCTGAACGAGCTCCTCGAGTCCGACGACAGGTTCGGCTTCATCGCCATGGACGGCAACGGCACGCTCTACGGCACGCTGAGCGGCAACAGCCGGGAGGTGGTGTACAAGTTCAGCGTGGATCTGCCCAAGAAGCACGGGCGGGGAGGGCAGTCGGCGCTCCGGTTCGCGCGCCTGCGTATGGAGAAGCGGCACAACTACCTGCGCAAGGCGGCCGAGCTGGCCACGCACTTCTTCACCAACCCCGCCACCAACCAGCCCAACGTGGTCGGGCTCATCCTGGCCGGCTCCGCCGATTTCAAGACCGAGCTGGGCAAGTCCGAGATGTTCGACCAGCGGCTCCAGGCCAAGATAATCAAGTCGGTCGACGTGTCGTACGGCGGGGAGAGCGGCTTCAACCAGGCCATTGAGATGTCTGTGGAGGTCCTCTCCGAGGCCAAGTTCGTCCAGGAGAAGAAGCTCCTTCGCAAGTACTTCGAGGAGATAAGCCAGGACACCGGGAAGTACGTCCTGGGCGTGCAGGACACCATGGCGGCCCTCGAGATGGGCGCGGTCCACACGCTGATCGTGTGGGAGAACCTCGACGTCAGGCGGTACGAGCTGAAGAACTCCGCCACGGGGGAGACGGTGGTGAAGTACATCAACGGCGGCCAGGAGGCGGACCAGAGCAACCTCGGTGTCGACGAGGCGGCGTGCGGGGAGCTGGACGTCGTCGACAGGGTGCTGCTGCTGGAGTGGTTCGCCGAGAACTACCAGCAATACGGCTGCAAGCTGGAGTTCGTCACCAACAGGTCCCAGGAAGGATCGCAGTTCTGCCGGGGCTTCGGCGGCATCGGCGGGATCCTCCGCTACCCGGCGGACGTCGCCGCCTACAACGACGACGACGACGACGACATGCTGGATGACGACGTCTATGAAGGCCTCGAATAGCAATCAACTGAAGCTTCACTGCACACGGTCTGGGAGGAGCCTGCGCTGGCCCCGACCGCGCCGCCGGGACGAGACCCTGCTGAAACATCCAAACGATCGGTGCAAGGGAAACGAGGTATGGTCCTGAAACTGCCCATGGTTGATTCGGTTTCTGTGTCTTTCTTCTGATCTTTTTGACTGACCTTGATCAACATTCACAACGTCTGCTTTGAGCAGGAGGTGGGACAGAAGAAAGGATCTCAGCAATTATAGTTCGGACCTTGAGCAAAGCACGATGATGGCGTTGATGGTTTGGAGTTGAAGGTCTCTTCCTCTCTGGATCCATCCCTTCAAATTTGGTTATGCTACTAAGCAGCCGTGGCTGCCTTCTCTTGCTGCATCAGAGAATATGCTTATTAGAGTCGTATTAGTTGCGAGTGTGAGAGTGGTGTTCCTTATAATCTACTCCTGAGTCGCCTTATGAGCTTATATGCTACTACAACAACTGCTTGAAATAATGTTGTGTATTATTGTGTTCGATTTTATATGTGAGATTTATTGCTATGGTAAGATACTACTTATGCTATCCTCACTATTGCCAGCCTTAAGGCATTGTTTCTAACCAATCCCCTATATCCCAAGGGTCTGTCTAGGGCTCATTTAGATGTGACATAACAAAATCACATCTAAGTGTGATGTCAGCGCCACCTCATTGTTTGTTTGTTTGATTTTGATTTGTCAAAGCCCAAAACAAACAAACGAGCTCGCCCGCATCTCCGCCTGGTTGGGCCGGCCAATATGTCCACCCGCGCCTACATGCTGGTAGGCTACCTACTAGCACAAAGCTAGCGATTAGTGCTAAAAAAACCCAAGCTAACGATCAGAATTTATATAAAGCTAGCGATCCAAATTGTGTCACTCGAAGCTAACGATCAGAATTTCTTTTGGAGGAAAAGCTAGCGATCAGGTGTATTAGTGAAAATAAAGTAGCGCTACCACTGATTTGTTTTTTTTCATCATCTTTTTACTGTCTAGCTTCTAGTAGGTTACCGACATTTTTTTTTGCCTTTTGGTTCTTACGTTTTTAACACTAATATTTTATATGTTAATATTTAATAAAATACAAAGTTTTGATCAAAAACATGTTCATGAATTTAAATTAAAAAAATTCAAATTATAAAAAATGTCAATGAATATGAAATATGTTCTAACATATGGTGAACAATTCTTTAATACTCCCTCCATACACTTTGATAAGTTTTCAGACAACTAAAAATGAGCTGCTTTGCACTTTGTCTGAAATGTCTTCAAGGCCTTATAAAAATGAACAGAGAGAGTATATGATAGTCATTTTGTGAATGCACACTAATTATTTTGTAATATACATTAAACTTCCTTGTCAATATATACAGTGACCTTTTTATATACAATAAACTTTTGATTATGCACTGAACATTTTTTTAATATGCAGTAAAATATTTTTAAATACACACTTAACCTTTTTCAAATATACTGTGAACTTTTTTAATATACGGTGAACATTTTTATAGTATACACTAAATTATATTGAAACACATACGGAACAATTGATCGTGCATTCAAAATGTTCGTGGATTAGAAAATATTCACGATAATCAAAATTTGTTCGTGTATTCAGAAAATGTTCGCTGATTCAAAAAAAATATTCACAAATATCCAAAAAAATCAAGAATTGAAAATTGTTCATAATTTTGAAAAAGGTTTAGATTTTTTTTAAAAAAAGGGAAAGAAGGAACAAGAAAAAGAATAAAACAAACATAAAAACAACCAAAAGAACTAGAAAACCAATAGAGAAAAATAGATAAAAAGAAGAGAAGAAGAAAGTGGATGCAACCATCCAAGACCCTTAGAAAGGTTCCTAAATACTAGATCCCCAAACCCTGGCTCCTAGGAATCCCCAATCGCTTCCTAGAAAATCACTCGCTAACAGCGCAAACAGTCCGGCCCGCTAAGAGCGAATAGTGATCGATCTCTACGCTTAGCAATTGTATAAGCGCCCCGAGATCCTTATTGTAGGTATTAGTGGGCTTGTTGTTTTATTAGCAACATGCAACTGGGACAAAGGGTCGAGACATGCAACTACAAGTCCATCCGTGGTTGCATGTCGAGGGCGGACCAACCGGAACAAAATGATCCGAGTCAGTTACATGTCAAGGGTGGACCACAATTGGGTCAAAAGGGCCGCGAACAAAGTTATGTGTCGAGGATGCACTTACAACTAGGACAAAAGGGTCGAGTAAAAGTAGCATGTCGAGGGTGCACTTGCAACTGGATCAAACTAGATTTACAACTGATATAGAAAAGGGTTGAGCCAGTTGCAAGTCGATGGTGGAGTTGCAACTAGGACTACATCAAAATTATGGGCCCAGTTGCGACTGAGGGTGAACATGTGTAACACCCCGGTGTAATGATGCTACAGTAACCCCCTTAAGTTAATCTTTTTGCTAAACATGTGCCTGATCATTATTGTCTCATGTTCTTTCACATTCCAGTTGAATTCAAATTCAAATTTTATCTGAAATTCAAAATGCTCAGACATGAAAACAAAAATGTTCATCATGTGCAGAATAATCCACAACTAATATTGGTGGTGAACCAACTTTTTGCAAAAAGGTTTGAGTGGCCTAAACTACTTCAAACAGTGGCCTAAGAAATAAATTAAATGCCTTTTTAATTTATGAAAATGGCAAACTATTTCTAAAAGCCTCACAATCTTTTTTTTTTTGGACAGTGCCTAATAATTCTTTGAGATTATTTTGTCCAATGGCATAATCTTTTGCAAAGTCTTTATTGGCTAAAAGAAAAAGAAAAGAAAATGCAAAAGCTGTTTTAAAAAAAGGAAAAGAAGAGGGGGTGGGAGAGCCCTGGCCTCCCCTTGGGCCTCGGCGACCCACAGCCCCCCCCCCTCTCTGCTTGGGCCTTAGCCGCTAGGCAGGCCCAGTCGGCCAGCCGGACGGCCCACAGCGCCCCCATGCCTTCCCTGGGCCTTGGCCCAGCCAAGTCGGCCCGATCACTCCCTCTCCCCGGTCGCCTTCCCCCTTCTCCTGTTCGACCGACCCGCGCTTGCGGTCG